CAAAAAACAGCAGAGAAAGGTTAAATGATTGGCCTCAGTAACACCGTGACTCATAACAGAACCAAGGATAGAAACCAAGAATTCTGATCTTTGATGGTACAAGAATTCTGATCTGATTAGATGGTACTAGGAAAGTACCATCCCGTCCATATGAAAGTGTGTACTGTAGTGATGTAATTTTGGATAAGAATATCATGATTATGAGCCTCAGAATTTCCACTTTCAGAGTTCAGAGTCACAAATTGAACTGTATATTTGTTTACAAATATTGCCATCCATAAATATTATGTCAGTGAGTTTTTGAGAGCCTTTCCATGTGTATATGTCATTGTCCTTTGGATACAGTTTTAAGTTGAACTTTAAAATGAAATTTTTGAGAATTACTCATCGTATATATGGGGAGAGACACAGCAATTTGCACAGATGGGGAGAGAGATCCAAAAGATGTGCACAGTAGAAAGTTTTTCTACTGCATTAGGATTAAATTCAGTTAGTGCAGAGTTGGCAAAGCCCATGCTGTCTCAGGTTGTTATAATATACAAAAATGTAGTTTCTGTGGAATAGCTCATACAAGTCTTGCAGGTTGATCAGTTGATTTGTCTTGCAGTTGAATTAATCACTTAGAAAGTGACTTCATTAAAAAGCAAAAAATCTGTACTGTTGAATTTTGTAGAAATTGTCTTGTGGTGAAATATAGAGTTGTATGACGATAACCTGTATTCTTTGCTGAACAACATCTGTGCCTTGTAAACTAAGGTAGGGGCTGTAGAACTCTAATTTCAAAGAATGTTGAATTAGAGAAAATGAGAAATCATAAAATGGTAAAACTAAAAAGTAAATACAAGGGGATATTGCTCACAGATAATACTCTGTTGTTATTTCTCCTACTGGAAGACAGTAAGAGTAAAGCATTGAGTCCCATTCTTCCCATCAACTTTTCCCCCTTACCTGGAATCAAGGAGGCAAAGGTTTTTTGTGACAATGAGCTCAGTATATCAACCCCTCCTCTCTTCTGTGAGATACAGTACTGCCAACGCAGAATCAGAGAGTAGAGAGGGCAAAACAGTGTCACCCTTCATCAAAAATCAAGAGGATGCTGGAGAGCTATTTTAAAAAAATATATATATTGCCAGTGAGAAATAGTCATCATGTATCCCTCTCTCCAACCCTAGGGAAAAGAATTAGAGACAATTGACAGGTGTAGGAAGCAGTATCCATTGAAGAGGGCTTACCTTAAAGTGCTGCCTGTAGTGTCTTTTGCCCAAAGAGGGTATCCTGCACAGACAGAAGGTCCAGCTGATGAGACTTAATGGTGTGTGGGGAAGTCCACATGACAACCTTACACACTTCTACAACAGATGCCTCAGTCCTTACTGCCCAGGAACCAGAGAATGCTTCTAGAGGAATGATCCCTGACACTCAGGTGATAAGGACAATAAGATTGATCATAGGTTAGACAAATGCTTAGACTGTATATCAATGGGGGTCTTAGAAATAGCTTTTCCATATTGGTGATTATCCAACAGACAAATAACTTTCCTAAACCTTGAGAATGAGATGGAAAAAACAAACAAACAAAACCTTGAGTTCACACCGAGATAATTCAGTTGCCTATTCTAAAGGGTTGGGATAGAAGGACAGCGTATAATAAAACTCGGTAAACACTGTAGGAATAATTTAACCTTACAGTATCTGGAAAAACTGCATATATGGTGGCAAGATAATAAGGTGCCTCAGTTCTCCACCCATTGGGCTGAAGTTATTGACTCTAGTAATATGAACTTCAGAGTGAGCAGTTCTAGAGAGACCTGCCCTTTTGGTTCAAGGAGCAGTCCTAAAGTATTGGAAGAAGAAGGGAGTGATTCAGTTGAGCAACTGGCTAAAATAAGGTTCTGTGCAGTAATAAGTAGTAACCATAAGTAGCACCCATAATCTAATTAAGTTTAACTTCCATGGGGAGTGGAAGGGGATACCAAAGAAACCCACACAATAGCATTTAACTTCAAAAGGAGAGCTACACAAAAATGAGGAAACTAGTTAAATGGAAATTTAAAAGGAACAGTCACAATAGTGAAATACCAGCAAACTGCATGGAAACTTTTTTTAAAAATGCCATAACAGAGGTTCAAACTATATGTATGTAGCCCAAATAAAAAAAAATAAGAGGACCAAAAATGTGTAAAAGAGGTGGTTAGAAACAAAAAGATATTAAAATTTGGAAGTCAAATACTACTGAGGAAGATATAAAGGAGCATAAACTCTGGCAAGACAAGTGTAAAAATATAGTTAGAAAGGCCAAAAAAGAATTTGAAGAGCAACTAGCAAAAGACACACAATCTAATAGCAAAAAAATAAAAATATAAGTACTGTACATCAGAAGCAGGAAGCCTTCCAAACAGTCAGTGGGGACACTGGACAATCGAGGTGCAAAAGGAGTACTCAAGGAAGACAAGACCATTGCAGAGAAGCTAAGTGAATTCTCTGTATCAGTCTTCACTGAATAGGATGTGAGGGAGATTCCCACACCTGAGCCACCATTTTTAGGTAACAGAACTGTGACGTGTTCCAGCTAATCCCCATCCCCCTGCCAATTACCCACCATCCCTGCCCACCTCTGCTGCCCCCTGAGCCATGCTCCAGTCCTCCCTAGCTCAGCCCAGCTCTGCCCTCCCAGCAGTCCTGTGCCTGGCTCTGCCCCTCCCTCCTCCTTTCCCCCCCCCAGCCATCCCTGTCTACTTCTGCCCCCCTCCCGCTCTTTTCCCTTCCCAGCCCGGCTCCCCCCAGCCTGGTTCCTCCACTCCCTGCCCCGAAGTCCTGTGCCCTGTTCTACCTCCCGCCCCTGGAGCTCGGCTCCCCCCCTCTCCCAGCCTGGGTATCCCACGGCTCTGTTCCCAGCCTGGCTCCCCCTGCCGCCCCGGCCTGGCTTTCCCTGCCACCTCACCTACCCCATTCACATGGATTATGCAGAAAGTTTCGCTCCTGGACCTGGATAAGTTGCAGCACAGCATCAATTGTTGCCACAGCCCCTGGCCCAGCTCCTCCCCTGAGCTCTTTCTCCCTTCCCCCCCCCCAAGCACAGCTGGCCCGCCTCACCCTTCCCCTGCCCCAGCACTGTCCGGCATGGTGCACGGAGCCGCTGTGCAACCCACAGTGGCGGGCACTGGGACGGGAGTCAGGCAGGATCTTTAAATTGTTTTTTAACAAAGCACAGGGTCCACATGCACCTCAGATCACCCTATCTTCATATCACCACACACAGGTACGCAGGTGATGCAGCAACTGGAGCCAAATGCCAATCACCATTCAAGCTTTCTGATTGGCTGGGCCTGGGAGCCAATAAAAAAAAAGCAACAAGCTACTTTAAAAGCCCTAACAAGCCCCCCAAAAGTAGCCAACATGCAAGGAGTTACAGAGGGATCTCACCAAACTGGGTGAGTGGGCAACAAAATGGCAGATGAAATTCAGTGTTGATAAATGCAAAGAAATGCGCATTGGAAAACATAATCCCAACTACACATACAAAATGATGTGCTCTAAATTAGCTGTTACCACTCAAAAAATAGATCTTGGAGTCATTGTGGATAGTTCTCTGAAAACATCTGCTCAATGTGCAGTGGTAGTCCAAAAATTTTACACCATGTTAGGAGCCATTAGGAAAGGGACAGATAATACAGAAAATATCATAATGCCACTATATAAATCCCTGATATGCCCACACCTTAAATACTGTGTGCAGTTCTGGTTGTCCCATCTCAAAATATATATATTAGAATGGAAGCAGCACAGAGAAGGGCAATAAAAATGAATAGGGGAATGGAACAGTTTCCATTTGAGGAGAGACTAATAAGACTGGGACTTTTCAACTTGGAAAAGAGACAACTAATGGAGGAAACGATAGCAGACTATAAAATCATGAATGGTGTGGAAAAAGCGAATAAGGAAGTGTGTAACACGTGAACCAGGAGTCGCCCAAAGAAATTAATAGGCAGCAGGTTTAAAACAAACATAAGGAAGTACTTCTTCCCACAATACACAGTCAACCTGTGGAACTTGTTGTGAAGGCCGCAAGTACAATTGGGTTTAAGAAAAGAATTAGATAAGTTCATTCAGGATAGGTCCATCAATGGTTATTAGCGCAGATGGTCAGGGACGCAACCCCATGCTCTGGGTGTCCCCAAAACCTCTAACTGCTTGAAGCTGGGACTTGACTACAGGGGATAGATCACTTGATAAATTGCTCTATTCTGTTCATTCCTTCTGAAGCATCCGTCACTGGCCACTGTTGAAAGACAGGATACTGGGCTAGATATACCATTGGTCTGACCCAGTATGGCCATTCTTATGTTCATATGCTATTTGGATAATTGAGCGTATACAGGATAATCTGACTAAAATAATTTTTGCACTTTTCCAAATTATCTCCTCACCATTCTTATATTGTTTATTAAAATTATTATTTTTACTTTTGCTCCTCAAGATCAATTCAAGTTCATAGTCTTTAGAATTTTACTGTGATTTTGCCTACTACATCTGTGGCATCCACCACATCTTCTTGAAGACAACTGGCTGGTGCATGCCTTTTAACTGTGTGTGTGTGATGTGCTTAGGCTCCAGATCCCCACTTTGCTGCTGCCTCTCAAAGGCTGACAGCGTTTTTGCTTTTTCCAGACTGGCTCTGCTGGAATATTCCCAGAACAATCTAAAACAAGGGTTCTAGATTTTTTTTCATAATTTGGGTCTCATCTTAATCTGTTGTCTCATGGACCACCACTAATTATGACTGTGTGGACTGCTTTCCAAAATGCATGTGTATGTTTTTTTCCCCTTGATTTCAAGTTGGAAAATATAAATGTGGAAATGACATATTATATGTAGACTTAATTCTCCCTTGTACAGTGAATCATATAATTACAGAGTAGTACTCTAGAAATTGATTTACTAGTTTGTGTGGAAAATGGAAAACCTTTCACTAAAATAAATTTATTTTTTTGCTTTGATAGGTGATACAATTAATGAACAGAGAAGAGCATCTGAAGATAAAAACTCATTTCCTGAGACAGGACCTACATACAGTCAACCTGTTCAGGTAAAAGAGACTACATTTCCTTAAGTGTCTTTGGTGACATTTCTTAGCAGAAGAGTATTGAATAAACTGCTGCTGTTTCAGAGATTTCTAAGGATATTAGGTAGTAGATTTTGCTCTAGCTTTGCAGACAAGGGCATAGATGTGATTGAATTTTTTAAACTAAATAAACTGAGGTCCTGCTGAGAGTCAAAGAAGAGTCAGTATGGTAGAGAAACACAACTGTAATAGCGCTGTTGCATTCACGCCTTTTTCTATCAATCTAAGATTCTTATATCGCCTGCATTAGCATAGCATCTGAGTGCTGCTTAATCTGTAATCTTTGTATCCTCACCATGGAGCTGTAAAGTAGTAGTATTCCAATTTTACAGACGGAGAACTGAGGCACAGAGAAAATGACTTGATCATGGTCACACATGAATTGCCAAAGTAGGGAATTGTACCTGAGTCTCCCAAGTTCCAGGCTAGCACCCAAACCACTGAACTATCTGCCTGGGGCAGCCCTTGCTGGAAAAGCCAAGGTCAGGGTAGACTGTGAAAGGGAGAGATACCCACCAGTCTTGGGAGTAACACTGAAGTTAAACTCCCCCCAAGCAGTCACAACTGCACTTCTGATCTCCCACACTGGTTATCAAGAAGCAAAAAAGAAATCACACAGCCCCCCATCTATTGCATTCCAGTCTCTGGCTCCCCATCAGCACCTAGGTCCAGTACAGTGAGAAGTTATTTTAAACTCTGCTCACATATACAAAATGTTCTTCTGACCCCAAAGGGTCAGCCACATTACCAGCTCACTATAGGTTTGGATCTTACCCAAAATGCCACATTGCCAGCCAATCCTTTAGTGTCTAAAACTAAAGGTTTATAATAAAGAAAAAAGAACAAGAAGAGAGATGCTAAATGGTAAAGCAGTCACATACATACAAAAACTTCAAAGTCCGTATATCAGGTTCCTAGCAGTACTGGTGAGTTTGCTGTCCCTCTAGAACACATCCACAGCTTGGATGGGTCATTCAGTCCTTTGTTCAGAGCTTCAGTTTTTAGCAAAGTTCCTTCAGAGGTAAGAAGCAGGTTTGAAGACAAAATGGAGAAGATGCAGCTGCCTTTTATAGTTTTTTGCCATGTGGCCTGTGCTTCCTTTGTTTCAAACACAAGCTGCCCAGCACATGGCTTGAAAGCCTTAGAGTTCTGTCCATAGGCATGCCCCTGCATGCCTTGCTGAGTCATAAGGTTTATCTGCCTTCTCTCAATGGGTCAGTTGTATAGCTGATGGTCCTCAATGGGCCAGCAAGCAGGCTAGGCAGAGCTGATGCCCAAACTGTCTTGGGGTGTCACCCAGAAGAGTAGTGTTAAGTGAGAAAGAAAAGAATGCCTTGCATCAGTGGTGCATCTAAAAGTTTATGTAAATACCACCAAATCCTCAACAAATGATAGTGCAAGTAAAGGTTTAACAAAGCTTTCATGATATATAGGCCTTGATGCAAATACTGTTTTCATTGTCCTAAACGCCACAAAGATAGAATGTGAGTTTTTCAAAATGAACTTAATCAAAACAAACTCGCACCCACATATACAGCAAAGCACGCTCCAGTACGTGATGCATTATAAGTGAATGGCCCAAGTATAGATTTTTTCCAGCCCCATCTGGTTATATGGTACTGACTTGAAGATGGACCAAGAGCACCATGTATTTTATGAACCCAGTCACAGTATGAACACTTGATAGCAACAACAGACAGCACTAGCGAAGGACTAATCTAGTACAGCTTGATATGATAGGTTTGAAATAAAAAAAACTGATTAGAAACCTACATGGTATTAGGTATTGAAAATTTTTACTAGAATTTGAAATAAATTATTACATCATAATAGTTCTGACTCTGTCTTAGTCTGTTGGTAGCAGTGGACATTTAATCTATACAATAGTGAAGACTAAAGAAAATATTTAAGATCAAGTAAGGTTTACATAAGCCAAAATAATAAAATAAAAATGAGAAACTCTAGGACAATAGTCAAGAACAAGAAGAATGCAGAGAAATCTAACAATTTTTTTTTTTTTTTTTTTGGCAATCAAATTTGAAGTCTTGTCTACATGTGGCTAAGTGATCAGAAGATCTTTCCCACTAACTTTGTCAGGTGTGGAATATGAAAATGTGTCAATTGTTATATTAGCTAACACATTAAGAATTGAATCAGAGTCACCCAGAACTGAAAGCCTGAGCAACTACAGTTTAAGCTGAACAAATGAGCTCTGTAGAGAAGAGCTGTAACAGACTCGTATCCTCTGTGATTGGGCATAAATTGTCAGCCCTTACCTGTTTTCCAGCTTGAAAAGAATGATACTACTAGTAATTAGATGGAGACATAGCTAAGACTGTGATACTATGTTCAGCATGCACTCCAGTATTGATTTTGAAAGGGAACCTGTTAGCAAAGTTTAAAGATGGCTCTCTGGTAATGGTAAGGTACAAGTTATAAATATGTTGGTGTAATTAATTATAACGAGATAAGTTAGGCATTGAAACAGAAGCAATTACAGATAAACAAGATGAACCTATCCATATGTCATGTTAATGCATTTGCACCCCAAAAATGTTGTACATGGTACGCACTCAAGCACTTCAGTTTTCCCCCTCATAAATAAATGATGTTTTTCTAAACATGAACCTACTCTGCATAGTCCTATAGTTTTAAATATATGCAGTACCACAATGAAATGTTTTGGTTTTTTTTCCTGTTAACCATCATACATAAAATGTTTAGGAAAAGCTATCTAATTTAGCCTTGGAACTATTTCTCCTTCTGCTTTCTGTGTGTCATTGTGACATTTATTACCATGAAGGCCTTGGTCTGAGTAATTCCTTGGTATCTTGGAGGTCTGCATGATGTTAGTGTTGTTCGTTTAATAGTGGGTGACACTAAATAAGGTCTGCAGGTTTTTTAAAATCTGGATTAAAAACTGTGCCTGATATGGTAATCTTTAATTCATCGTCACTAGTGAGTGTTGTTTAGCTTAAAATAATGAGCAACCAAAAACTGATTTGCTGAACTGGTAGAAAAGGCTTCTGGAAAAGAGCTGGAAGAAGATTAAGCAAGAAAACAAACATGAGTCCCAAGGTTGAAAATGTAGTATAACTTTGATTTATAATTTATTCATACTACTGATTATTTTTGATAACTGATCTTGTGTTTATTCTTAAAGGAAAAAGACATTTAAAACTATGGTCCTTTTGAGGTTTATCAACCAAACTAAATCATCTAACGAGGATCCATTTCAATGAATCCTTACTCCCTTTCTAATAAAACAATGGAATCTTTCTTCTTGAGTGTCACATCTGCCCCTGGCTTGATTATTCTCTTTGCAATTTGCTCATTGGAATGTTCTTCATCTCCCTTTATGCTACAGATGCTACTTGTATGACCTATTGTGACATATATAGTTTATCTGTGTATTTTAAGTGCACATTTTTATTTAGTTTGGCCATTGGAGGAAGAGGGAGTTGTCTGTAAACTTTCCTAAAACATAATCTGGCTCTTGTACCGATCAATGGTCAGAATGAAAACAAATATAATGGTTCCATCTCAGGTTAGGATTCTCTGTGTCAACTGACAAAGAAATGCAGTATGTAAAACAGTATATATTTTAAATATTTTTTTTAACATACTTTCTAGTAGACAAGGGTTGGACTCTATATACATCATTGCTGGGCTCTATTCTGATCTCAGAGCCATGCAGATCGTCTGAGCATGATGTTGGGAAAATTACCTTTATCATGAAATTCATCCCTGTGAAGAAGTGCAGCCCAAGACCTGTGCACCACTTAAGTTCCACTTAAACCCTGGTTTGAGGGATCCCTGCAAAAAGATGAATTTCACCCTTAATATGTGTTGTTCCATCTGGGTTTCTAGGTCAAATGCACAATGTTGTCTCTACTGGAGAAGATTCAGTAAATTATGGCTGGGATGTGAGAAAACAAACCTTCCTGAAGTTTTCTCTCAACAATGGCTGACAACATAACTCTTAATAACCTATGTAAAATGTGCCTTCAATCTTGCATTATTTCAAAGTGTTTTACGTGTTTAGAGGAAGGAGGAGAGAAGTTTCCGGAATTAAATATTGGATTTTACTGGGGGAGTAAATCTTTTATTTTATTTTTAAATATTAAGGCATAGAGATTAATTATTTTAATTGCTTGACAGCCCTAAAAACTATACAATTGTTGTATTTAACTCTGTACTGCAGATTGCCATCTTATATACTTAATGTGGTGTTAGTGAGAGAGAGACACAGTATTACACAACTTGTTTACTCTTGCATTAATGATAGTACATGAATTCGAAGAATATTCTGCAAAGATATTGTAATTTATTTAAAGCTATTTGTCAGTTAAACTACAATGGGCATCAAATAGTTGTTGTGCATAATTGACATGGGGTGTTCAGTTGTTTAAAGGAATCAAAGCCTTATTTTCTCATTGCAAACTGGCTTTTATTTTTAAACACTATCTGATTTAGATTTTAAAATATGTGGGCTTTGTACTTGGGGGAACAGGGAAAATGGTAATATGAAAATTATTTTCATGTCATTTTCCATAGGTAACTTGCTTATTCAGAGGTGAAACTATGAAAAGTTTGGTTCTTGAAGCAAATACCTTTTACAGATTCTCCGTTAACTTTTTGTCTTTTTTGCTGTTCCTTCTCCGTTTAGATTTGTGTGTGTGTGTGTGTGTGTGTGTGTCTTTCTAAATCTTGTGGGAGACCAGCTGGGTGAGGTAATATCTTTTATTGGATCAACTTCTGTTGGTGAAAGAGACAAGCTTTCGAGCTCCACAGAGCTCTCCTTCATATCTTGTTTCTTTCACTAACAGAGGTTGGTCCAACAAAAGATATTACCTAACCACCACATCGGTCAGATCCTGGGAACACTATGGTACAAGACTACAAATTTCTAAATCATGTCAGTTAAATGATATCCACTTTACATAGTTCTTGCTTAACTTAAT